AAACGAATCAACAACAATAAAACAAAAATTCCCCCACTCCTATTAGGAGGAAGCATAAGCTTATTCCGATAAGGATAAAACCAAAAGTATAGCTAAAAACCTGGAAAATACGTTTAAACTGCGCCCTATGACAAACAATACATTTAATGCTAAAACAACAGATTTATTAAATAATGAAATCCCAACCACTGCGGCAGTAATCAAATTTCTTAAATTTAAAAAAGACCCAGGAATTGACAAAATTAGCAATGCTTGAATTATGATGTTAAATAAACAAACTGTTGCAGCATTAATGGCGATCTGTAATGCGTCACTACGTCTTAACTATATCCCAATAACACGGAAAAGGCAATTATAATTCCATTTTGTAAACCTAACAAAGATTCCAGATTTGCTGAAAAGTATAGACCCATTAGTCTCTTATCTACACTTTCAAAAATATGTGAAAAATTAGTATTAACTCGATTGAACTATTTTCTAACCTCAATGAACACCATACCATCAGCTCAATTTGGTTTCAAAGCGAATCACTCTACTACCCATCAACTCCGACAATTAACCGAAGCAGTCGCCCAAGGATTTCACGCTAAGAAGCGTACAGTAACAGTGTTTCTGGACTTACGCCAGGCTTATGTTATGGTCTGGCACTCAGGACTCATCTATGAAATGCATCGACTGGGAACTCCAGAATACCTACATTTTTAAAAGTTTCATAACAAACAGAACATTTAACGGTAAAATCAACAACTCTACTATAGAATCTTGCCCAATAGCTGTAGGAGTACCACAAGGATCAGTTCTCCAACATTATTTAATATTTATATCCATGGTATACTTATCCTGTTTGCTTACATCATAGCATTATATGCGAATGATATCTTTATGACTGGTAAATAGAAAAATGACCTTTAGGTCTATGGGTCCTTCTTTCGGAGAATACAGAAATGAATTCTGCGTACTTCAATGTATATCAAAACACGTTTTCATGGTTTTATCTCCATTCGTTCGGTTGGTAGACCAATATTCCGTTACATGAAGAGAGTTGTCGAGAATATTGCACTTTAATCTGTTATTCGAGTTCCACTTAATCCGGCACTAGTTATTGATATTCGAGACTTATGTGGGTACTTAAATGCTCCTTATTTTGGGACATACCAAAATACACGAACATTTCAAAACTACGAAGTTGGAGATAGCGATTTTTGCTTTAAACAAAGTATGTTGTAAAAAATCAGCTTCTCAAAAAAGAGAGTTTTTGAGAAAATGAACTGATTTCGCTTAATTAGTGTCTGAAAGTTATGCTATTTATAAAAATATTTTCTGAAAACCCGCACGAAATATTTGTATTAAAGTCTCTCCTTGTATTAAACAGCGTATGATAAATAATTAAATAAATAAAACTAGTGCTGCAGAATGGCACAGACTTTCTCGCACTAGTTTTCTAATGTTTCTAGTCTGGATAGCCTTTCGGTAGACATTTTTCTCATCACGGCTGCCTTTTGTCCGAAAAACATTTTTTTAAAAACATTTTCTCGGCTCCGTAATGCTAGAACAACCAATTATTTCTTGAGTAATATGCAAGTGAAGAGATTTTGTCCTCCCGGATGACAGGTTGTTTAGTGGCGGGGTCGGGTTCATCACGTGAAGCACATAGATCGCCGGTTTGAGAAACACAAAGGGATTTAAATTTAATGAAAGAGTGGATGTAGAAAACTATTGGGGGTGATAGAAACTTTATAGACAATTCGAAGCATTTGTACTAAAAAATGCAATGAATACATGTACAAATAAAGCGGACGTGAATGTATGTGTTCTTAGAATTTGTAACTTTTACACATATTTTTCAACCTCCTTTTGCGATTTGTAAAACGTATGTAACGTCAAATCTATTGTTTAGTTTCTGTGCATCTGTATGAACCGATTTAAGTAAACTAATTAATCTATCGGAATGGAATTTAAATACGCTGTGAACACTAGCCATGTGACCAACTTAGATATCCTTAACGGTCCTCGAAATATTACTTTCTCGTCTCACGAATTCTTCGTAAGAAGAGAAAATTATGTAATCGTGCACCAGAAAACGCCGAAATTTCTCCAGAAAAATCTTATTGCCTGGTTCTGGGAACGAAAGAGTGGAAAAAGCTAATGTAAAATTAAAAAAAAAATCATCTAACTCGTAGTGTAGCCAGAATCCATGTTTTGTTGGTTCTTGATACCGAAATATCGACTGACGGCAAAGCGTCACTCTGTTTGTCTGACCATCTGCGCCTAAACCGTTCAGCTAAATTCAAAATTGACATTCCCTGATTGATCTGAACGGACTAGAGGCTTTAGGAGTTTCTAACGGATATTTTGATTGTTGAAGATTTTTACATGAATCGGGCATTTGTCTTTTTATGCCTTTGCCCGAGATCGGCCCGTCCGGCGATTCTGTGGCGTATTGGTGTGGGTGCCGGCACGTTAACTCTGAGTTCGAGTTGCGGAGCGGGAAAATAATTTGCTGCTTGAGAACCTTTTGCTGGCTTATGTAGTAGAATCACGTTGCGGAGCATTTAGAAACAATGCAAGAAAGTATGTGCTTTGGCAGCACCACTAGTTCTATTTTTTTTTAATTTGTGAAAACGTAAGATGTACCCTTTCTGCACTGGGCGATTCAATTATAGACTGTATTGACCCACAAAACGAAAAATATATATTGTAACGATACACAAAAAAATTAATGTATAACTAGTGGTGCTACAAAAATTGCACAGATTTTCTCGTATTAATTTTCTATTTTCTTTGGTCTCGTCTAGCTATTAGGACTTCCCACATACAGGGCCATTTCTAGATCATCTGTGGCTATCTATTTCTAGGCCCCCTGTGGATTTGAAAATGAGGCCCTCCTACACAAACAAACACCCCCCCCCCGTGCGGGTGTACATCGTTCAATTATAAATACATCTCTGCTAATTATAATGGCACAAAAATAATATAATTTATAAATGAATTTATAAATATAATAAATTGGCGCGACTAACGAAGGGTTAAACTAGTGGTGCAACAGAGTGGCACAGACTTTCCCGTATTAGCTTTCTCTTTCTTTTGGTCTCGGCTAGCTATTCGGACTTGCTGGATACGAGTATACTAGTCTGCTGCCATCTATCGCCGCCCAAAGTACATTTTTTTGACATTTTCCGAATTTTTCAGTTTCCTAATAGTATAGCGGAAATATTAATTTAAGAAAATTAAAGAACAGAAAAACTTTGGGCGACGATAGATGGCAACTGGCGAGAGTATGTAGCAAGCCCGAGTTGCTAGCTGAGACCAAAGGAAATAGAAAACTAATACGGGAAAGTCTGTGCCATTCTGTAGCACCGCTAGTTTTAAAAGGGCTCAAGTTTTTCAAAGAAAATTGTCATATAGGAGGAGGTTTTACTGTTCTTCAATAATATTAAAATAATATTTTCGCTCTACAGTAAGGAAACCGAAAACTTAAGAAAATGTCTAATACGGGAAAGTCTGTGCCATTCTGTATTATTTTCTTGTATTCTGTATTCATTCTGTATTCTTCAACTGGTTTTATTCACTTTTTCGTTATCGGGTTCCGGCAAATAAGTTTTTTCTTCCGAAAATCTGCCGTAATTTCGCGCAGCCAAGGACACCAAAATGAACTGGAAACAACACATAGACATCAAAATAATTCAAACTAAAAACAAACTGCATCAATTACAAACTCTAAAAATTACCTCCCATACAAAACAGCAATAACTTTATTCAAAACAATAATCAGACCTACTCTCCTCTACGCATGCTCAGTATGGATCAATGCTGCAAAAACAAACATCAACAAAATTCAAATAGTACAGAACCAATTCCTCCGTACAATCACTAATGCACCCTGGTTCATATCTAATCATAAATTACACAATGAATTCAACCTGGATCCCGTCATGCACCACATCACCTACCTATCGCACAACTTCTTCTCTAATATACACCAAATCCAAACCTTATCTTCATTCAAACTTTGCAAAAACCCCATCCATCCCACTCGTATAAAAAATAAATATCAATTCCACATATTTTGTAAATTGTTTTCAGATGTGGAATAGATCCCATGAGGTACCATTATGGTTTCCTCAACCTCTGTAGTAGTGTTAAGTTAGGTTTTATTTAATAAGTCATCAATACATATGTAAAGTAATCAAAAAATGAACTATGTACAAAACAATCAAATAAATAAATATAAAAATATGTTATATTTCGCGCATTACATAACTTTCCCTTTACTGCCTATATTGTTCCGTATTTACGTATGTAGATGGGAAAGTAAAAAGGCTTAATACGCCAGTAACAAGTAATGCACTCGTACGTAGCTTCTCGGTGAATGGCCACAATTTCTATTAGATGTTGGTCCACTTTTCCTGATCCAATGAACAAATGCTGAGATGCTTCCTTTTTTTTGCTTCTGGACATAAATGTATTTTCATTAAGCTCAAGTTGAGCTCTTCTCTTGTTAGTTGTGGTAGGAGTAGAGACGGTGGTGTGTTATTTTTTGAGCAATACTGTACTAGTCGTGCTTCATCAACACACACTTCAACACATTATTTATAAAATTGTAATTTCCGAAAAATTAGCGTAGTCAGTGAAAAAGATTTGCGCCATTCTTTTAAGCGTTCCTTGTTCTATACGAGAAAGAAATAGAAAAAAAACAAAAAAAACAACATTGGAGCAGTTTTTGGGAAAATTGTTTACATTGTATTAATTTGGTTAATTAACTTCTAGCACAAATTACGCGAAAACGACTCGTTAAAGAAAGAGCTGATTTTTAGAACATATTACAAAATTTCTATCTTCAATTTTGTTCTTTTGAAATGTTAATTTTATGCAATTTTCGAAAAAACAGCGCGTCTCATTGGAGACAAGTGATTCCCGCGGACCCTTTCCCCCTCCATGGCGCTGCAATCTGTCAAGTCAAGGTCGAGGACGCGATGCACGTGACGTCAGTGCTTCCTGCAGCCGCTGCCGGCCGCAGTCGCAGAGAGCGCCCGGCTCGCCCGCTCAGGGCGTGGACGGAAAACAAGCCACGAAAGTGCTTTTGAGGTTCTTGGCACGGTGGCTACTTCCTACGATTAATACAGTGCAGGATGTGAATGATGGCCATGAGTGTATGGCGCCGTGTGATGTGAATGGATAAGGTGAAAGCAGCAGTCTACAAAGAAGGTGAGTGCTCCTGAAAATTCTAATTTAATAACTATAAAATACAGCTCCTAATGCAAGGGCGTACAATTGCCTTCTCGAGAGAATATGTATCTCCTCAGTTGACTAGTGTAGCCCAAATTTCGAGTTTCAATATCGCTACTGAATAAAATAGATTTACAATCGAGTGCCGAAAATAATGTTGTTCGTTATTTCCACGTATACAGAAGTGGTTTAAATTATGAAAGTGAAATTATGGAATCAAGAATGGTTTAAATTAAATCCTCAATATTGTCAATTATTGCGTCTTTCATTTCTTCAACGGGAATGAAGGCAAGGAGTCCAAAACAAATCGACCCCTTTTCCTATACGTATATAGTAGCAATGATTCACATTTTGTGAACACTTGAAGATTTACAGAGATACGGTTGATCGAGAGTGAAATAAACTTTTTCATTGGATTGCTGTTACAAGTAATTAATTGCTCGCTCCTGTAAAATTCCTAGTGTGTAGTGAATGAAAACAAATATCTGAAAGGAAATACATAATTTCCAATTTCACATTTCGATACAAAGCGTTAAGTGAGGCTTATTTCGAAAATTTAACAATCTTAATAGTAATTTCGTTTCGTTTTTAAATTCAAGTAAATTTCATTGACTGAAATGTCTCCGGGCAACAATACTATTGCCACTGCAGTGTCTCTGTTCGGGAGGTGCTAGTGTGTAAGGCTAAGGTGGTGGATTTTTGTCACCAGTTTGGATTGTCTCGGCGGTGCACCGCTGACAGAGATGGTGGTCATTTTCTCAGAAAAAGCATTTTAATGAAATTTCAGTTTTTCTTTTCACTTTAGAACAATACTGCTTAGTATAGACATTAATTTTAGATTATGACAAAAGGAAATGACCCATTTATATGTCATTTTACATTTTTCGTCGACTTTGACTAATAAGCCATTTTTAAACTTTCCCCGACATTTTTAAGGCATTTTTGCTGATTTCACCGATTTAATGTCATTTTTTCGGTACTTGCTTCAATAATATTTACGAGGTGCAACAAATGTACTTCCAATAATTCTTGACTAGCCTATTCGATTCCTTCACTTAAAAATGGTAATGTCAGCCATTGCGAGTTTGTAATCTAATGCAATTAAGGTTCATGAGACGCATAACAGCGCCAATGTCCGTTCGGTCGATTTGCAAGCGAAATCCAGGGATTTTCTGGGAAAGATCAGTCTAACCTAAAATTTTGCAAACTGAGTTTACTATAAAGGGGGAAAGAAGCCTCGATTACATCAGTAACATATCCAACAACTTGAGTTGTTCATCTGAACTGTTTTTGATCAAATTTTTTACGTCATTTTTCTTTTATTTAGGGCATTTTAAAAACATTAAAGGAGCATTTTATTGATCATTTTTGGTGATGTTTTAGGGACATAAAAATCTGTCCCCTACTTATAACTATTTGAGAAAGTTTGAGACAAGATTTGAACCACCCATTCTTACAAATGTTGTGAAGTACATAAAATTGCCATTTATTTACTAACAACGTTAGAAAGATATCGCATAAATGACATTTTTGTCATTTTTGAAAAAAACAATCAACATAGCTAAATGGCATTCTTATGTAAGTGCATTAAGCGCTATTCCTACTGAAATTTAAAGAAAATTTTGAAGCCGTCTTTGAGAAAATCTCTTTTGGTATTTTTTAATATTGCCCATATTTCACCCAAAATTGTCCCCAAACTACTGAACTCTTTTAAAAAATGCGCGTGATATTAATAAAAGAACTACCTATGAAAAATAAATTTCATTTGAAGAATAAATCGCAATCTTCAATTTTATGGTGTAGGAAGACTCCGAAAAAAGTCGAACTTTTGTAATTTTCAAAAATTCAGAGTTAACAGTGACAATTGGACCTATGGCATATTTATAAGTGCATTTCACTCTGTTATTATTACAAATGTAAAAAAAGTTGTATCAATTTTTGAGAAAATTTTGAAAATGTTGCAGAGCTACGAACCCCCAAAATTTAAAGAACGTATTCCAAACTTACAGAGCTCAGAGTCGGACCATATCGAACACCAAATGTTCATTTAGAAAAAATGCCTACCAATAGTTTAGGCTTTAATGTTGTTCACAGATGGACATACAGGCGGACGGAAGTTTTGAAGGAAAAAAAGGAACCTTTTTAGGTGTTAGGTGGCTTTAAAACGTGTATTTACGCTAAAATCTCGAAATCGATTTTCCGCAGAATTCAATAATGTTCTTTACACCACGTGTACTACTCCATATAGACATATGAGTAGGAGAAAGTAAAACTATAGTAACAATTTGTCAAAAGTTTTGATGGTGATCAGGGCTCGAATTCTGATGACCTAAAAATCCTTCGAAAATGAACCATAAAGTGACTTCAAAATAAGAGGAAAATTACCTATAAAATTACTTGAAAATAAATAGGAAATTACCTATTTAAAAAAATACTCAAAAAATTTGTATGAAAGTATTTATTCTTCCGTTTTGAGAGATCAAAGAAGTTACCAAAGTTCCGCGTGATTTTGAAAGTTCAAAAGCAGACTCAATTCGAGTAGGAAATTGCGTCATGAACTGATGATACAATGAAAACTTTAAGTGTGTCATTCTATACTCATGAAAATTCGCTAACAAAAACATAAAAAGGAAGCGAAATGAATAAAGTTGTCCAAAAGGACCCAAATGTCCAAAAAATCTAACAAATGAAATATGACAAGAAATGAAAAAATGACTCTTTAACTATACACTCCTATCATATCAACTGTATGTCGGAATAAACATTCATTTACAAGTTAGCTATGTCTAGAAGTCACCAACCCGAATGCGAGTCTTAATGATAATCATAACGAATGTATTCACTATAATACATAGGGATATGTGGGTCTTTATCAGTTTTACAGAAGGGAAGAACATAAGCAATTTTTTACGCTTGAGGAAAATAGAAAACTCAATACATTGAATTTAACAAATTTCGAGTATTTAGTAAGTACTTTGCTAGTAAATAAATAAAGCATACAAGGGAAATAAAATGATAACTTTGATGATATACTCTATTGTCAAAATAATTAAAATTGAAGTGTTTGTTCGTGATTTAAACATAACCGTCTTGTTATTTTTCTAAATACTATCTAATACTATTAAAACGTAATTGATCATTCGTCTTACAATTTCAATTACATTTACACAAGGTCGGAGTTAGATTTTTTACTTTCCTGTATACGTACGTGTAAATGGAGTAATGTAGTATATGGAACGTTAAGTAATGCTGCGGAAAATTGATTGCGAGATTTCACGTTTTAAAGTCCCCAGATACCGAAAAAGTGTTGTTTCTTTCTCCAAAACGTGTCGGTGCTTCCGTCTGGTGTCTATGAACTCTCTACTAGCGCCTAAACCATGCTTAGGGCTTTTTCCAAATTGAAGAATCCCCTGTCCATATGGCTCGAGTTGAAGCTTTGAGATTTTGAAAAACATTCTTAAAAACTTGTGGGTAATCTGACGGACAGTTTCGAAATTCGCAAAATAAGGATAGAGTAACATATACTTATAAGCGTGGCATAGGTCCAATTTTCCCGGTTATCTCTAAATTTTCGAAAATTTCAAAAATGTGATTTTTTACGGTGTCTTCCTACAACTACAAAATTGTAGATAGAGATTTTTCCTTCAAATAAAATATATAATGTATCGAACAAAATAATGTTATTCTTTCGTGTTTTCAATACTTTTTTTCACTTCTCTCAAACGTCGTTAATCTTTACGTTAGTTATGCGATTTGTTCACATTATACATTTATGAGTACATGTGCTTGAAATAATGTCATAAAGCTTCTCGAAAAGAACAGTTTTCAGTCAAAACTACCTTAAAATTTCGCAATTTCAGATACACTCAAATTCCATGTTCTCAAAAACGGCTCCAATTTTTTCTTCAAACTTTGTGAAAAATTAAGAAAATTAAAAAAAAAAGTTCTTTGGGCGGCGGTAGATGGCAGCAGGCAAGATTATGTGGCAATTTCTAATAGCTAGCCGAGAACAAAGAAAGTAGAAAACTAAAACGGGAAAGTCTGTGCCATTTTGTAGCACCACTCGTTACAAATGTTTAGTTTTCAACGCTTCGGGCACTGAATTTTTCAATGCTTGTTAATACAGTAGATTATTTGGTTGACAATTATTTTCAGATAAAATATTTAAATATATTATTTTGCAATGTGTTATATTTTTCATAATAAGAATTGATATTCAGTTTCATTTTAGACAATTGAATGTCATTATTTGCTCATTTAATATTCTTCTTAATGTGGATTAAATTTGGCAGCATTTCGCGGTCCAATTGTTACCTAAACGGATAGAAAACCAGAAATACATAAAACTACAAATGAGGGACGTTTTACTAATGATGTTAGCTTTTTCCTGTGATGAAATCTGATATTTAAAAACTGATCTTGAAATAATGTCATGTTGAATTTTCCGAATTTGTCATGTAATTTCGCACGAAATATAGGTAACATTTTTAAAATTTTCTTCTCCTATGTATCGATGAACGGAAAAAAAGGTGGTGCTAGTCCATTTTCGGCAAAATCCCCGTATTTTCGAAAATTTGAACACTTGCATGTTGGGAGTATTGGGTTGAGTCAATTACATTTTTTAGCCCCGGCCAGAGTTCGAAACTCACAGCATTTCCACAGCATAAAGGTAAGCCTCAGAGCGAGACCTTTTTTGAACGCGAAGGCCTTGAGTTCGGGTCTCGGTGCGAAAAAAATAACTGCTTGAATTCACCTTTGTCTGTTTATGTAGTGGCAGTACAATATAGCGGAACCGTAGAAACAATGCAAGAAAGTGTGCGCTGTTATCTCCTCTAGTTCAAGATATTGACACCAAAACTCCGGTGCCTTGTTAAATGTCACTCTACCATTAAAATGCTTTTCAAAGTGCTTCCGCAAAGGAAAAGAATATTTTCCAGCTTTCTTTGTTTCCACATACGGCTCATCTATACTAATAAAAGTGAATTCAACGACATGTAATCGTTGACGATTCCACACAAGAGTGTATGGGTAGGCTCGAAATATTTAGAGGTTCTTCTTCAGGAATTGACAGTGTCCTTGCAAAATTTGGTAAATAACACCAGTGCGAAAAATAAATAATTAAAATATTTCGCTTGTAGATGCACCACGACCTCTATTTTTCGCCTGCCACTAAGAGACAAGTTCCTATATATTCCGGCAGCGATGTGATATGGCCACAGAGTGCGCATAGGGAGGTGGCCGTGTGACCAATCTCCATGAAAGTTGGCATAAGTACGTGTTTTTTCAATGAGAAGGTTTTTATGCTGATTATTTCTTTTGTAACTTCACCTGATGGTGATACAGCACGAGCTGGCGCATTTAAATGCAATTCGCAATCCACCTGGACTTCACTGTCGCTGGGCGCTCCCGTGTGAAGCTCATATAAGCGTGACGTCACAAAGATGGCCACCATCACCAAGAGTTGAAATATATTTGGCATTGGTAGTATCGATAAGAAGCGAACTAGGAAATATGCAATATAATATCTAAGACTAACCCATACTGTATATTATGATGTGACGAACGTTTCTTTGAGGCCTGGTCTCAGAATTGTAGTTTTGAAGTCCCTAGAACAATTTGTTTAGGAGTAATTTAACTGTGAAGCTGACTGAGTGCTGCGGGTTGCATTTGACGTAAATATTTAAAAAGTTTTTCAAAAAGTCCTTCAATTTTTAAATTAAGAAAGAGTTCTTCACGTCTCCGTAAAATTCCCTTTTTTAGAGACATGATTTATAAAGATCTGTTGCGTGTGAGAGCCGAAAAAGGTAGGTATATTACTGAAATAATAGAGGAGATGATTGATGTTGAGAACATATTATTTATGTTTCTATGGCGGAGAGGGGTCTTCTATGCATATGTATTTCACGTATTTGCTTATATTGCCTAATTAGCATAGCCTCAATTACAGAATATTTTAAAGTATTTTAATCAAAATATTTTTTATTTTACAGCAATCATGGAAAAGGCGCAGAATGACATAAGGTATATACAGGAATTTAATGAGGATCTCAAACTCATATTTATTATTGTTTGCTTAAAATTTAAAAATTGTCTAAGAAATTGTGCAGAGAGAAAATTTACCTGAGAGAGATAATTTTAATTCGTCAGATTGACAATTTAGTGCTGATATTGTGTAACGCATTTGTAAACAAAGTTTGTGTATCGTATTGCATGACAGATAAGCTCAACTGTACAAAACATTTAATTTTTTCCCATTTCTTTTCTTTTGGAAAATAATTCTTTCGTTAATTTTGCAAAGAAAATACTTTTAATATTACCGTCAATGTTTTCTCTCTTTGGCAGGTTAGCCACCAAAATCATTGGCTTGGTGACTGCTCGAATACAAGGCCTCCGAAAGAAAAAGCCGGACTTACAGGTGAAATTTTGTGTCTTAGGTGATGCACTGCAAAACTATGCTTTCGACACATTTATCCTTAGAGTGAACTGGAATAAAAGTGGGATACAGAACAAAAATATTTACTTATGCGTGACTCCAAAACAAAATTTTCAGAGCACGGAGAATTTGACAGACTCAGAGGCTGATGTTATCAAAATCTTGCAGATATCCTTCTCACTTTACGAACAATTCCAAGATATCTCAAAAATCCAATTTGATACGAAACTCAGCCAGATCGTAGAGGGTGTTGGTGCTAGTAATTTCTCTCTGGTATTGTATACGACGTCTAACATACGATCAGAATATAGAGTCCAAGTTCCAGCGAATAATTGTCCTATTATAGGAACATTCGAAACTAAGAAAAATGGTGGTTTCTGTCTAAGTGCACAACACGATGTCGTAAAAAATGCATTCCCCGGAAGAGATCAGTTCTTACTCTGCAATTTTCTTTCAAGTACGGTGTTCCAGGATGCAAGAATTGAGGCTCCAGACGTAACCAAATTGTTGAAGAACTCTTTGCAAGATAACCTCTGGGCTCTGAGAGACTGGCCTCACGGGAACACTACTATGGAAAAGTATTTGCGTCATATTGAAGAGATGTGGAGCTCTAGAACTATTCTACAGGGTGATTCAACCAAGCTGCATGACATCGTGAGACGCCTCATCAACGCACAGCACCTCGTCGTTCCGACCGATCATTTGGCGGCCATGGAGCAGCGCTTCAAAAATCACGACCTGACTTACGTCATAGTTCCTGATGTCCCACCGGTTCTCAGATGTTCGCGAGTAAAACAAGTTCTAGAGAGGTGCTGCCTCAAGTTCTTAATTTTAAGCCCCCAAACCCTGAAGGAATGGCGGGACGATGTTTTGCAAACAATCTGTCAATCTCCTGCGCTGTGTGAAGAATTAGTGCTAAGCGTTGTCTCACTTGACAGTGATATGAAAACGTTTCTGCAATGCGTTCGTGGGTCGGGATGTCGTGTTAGAGTAGTGGCGCCGACTTGGAAAAAAGAAACTCACGAGTTCCTGCAGTCACTTCTCCCATCTTATTCTTCGTGGGTGGACAAGTGGTCGAATACAGAGAGAGGAAGGTAAGTGGAATATTAGGGACAATTAGCCCTTTATTACAAAGTTTTTTAATTTTTAATTCCAATAATTATACTTCATTACATTTATGTATTTGAACTAAGGTAAAATATTTAAAACAATCAGCAGTAAATATTGCTTGAAAAAATCACATAACTAAATTATGTTACCCCTGAGTTAAGTCATGCAGTAAAGATATAAATTTATGACACACTGCATATTGTTGAATTACACTGCATATTTATGATACACTGCATTTTGTTGTTAGGATTTAAAAAATTAACCAAAAATATCGAAATGGAAGGAACATATTAATTTTATATAGAAAAAATTACAATAAATTTTGATATGAGTGTTTTAATATTTTTAAAGATGCTTTAATTATAGAGTTGAAAGAAATATTTTTTCTGCATGTGTTGATTTGACTTCTTCCTGAGTTTCCTCTGTTTGTTCAGGTTTCTTGGGTGTTTAGGCATCATCCAAAGAGTAAGAAATAAAAGAACCTTTTATTTTCCAAGAAGCTGCACAACAATTTTACGAACGTCATCCATTAATCTTGGAAAATTACTGACACTGCTAATTCACCCCCAAATGAAGTACAGTAATAGACAGTCGAGAAATTAAAGCACAACAAATTTAAAAGTTGAGTGACATTTATTAATTCACAATAAATAAATTGTAACGCTTCGAAAGTAATTGGTCTTTCATAATCAGGCTTGTAGAAGTCAAGGTCTATAAAAAATGCAAAATAGTGTAAAAAAATGAAAAGTATAAATAAAAGGATAAAATTGACCAAACTCATACATACATAATCTTGATGGAGACAGGTAGTTACATCGAGATTAGTGGACATATAAGAAATTAACGATAATACAGAGGATATCAACATTCTTTATGTTTATCAAGAATATCACTATTTAATGGAACTGGGGTTGCAAGTATAGATCAACATAGTAAAATATTTGTAACAGCCTATAAACAATGAAGTAAACCCTTATGAGTAAATTAATAATTATAAAATAATATTAGGAATTAAAATTAATATTATGAGAGTTATCAGGCACGGTAGCGCAGACTCGCTACAATTCATAACGAGCTACTTTTGTTTGAGTCGCATCTTGTGTTAAATATCAATGCAAAAATGGCCGGTGCTTTGGATCAGGCTGCCTCCGTTGCCCTTGCGCGCTGTCCACCGGGCGGGTGCGGCGCACACGGCGCCCTCTACGAAACCAAGATGGCGGCGCATTCGAATAGTGACGTTTAATGAATTGTTTATGAGAATGAAACCTTTGCTCCTTACTAGGAACTTCACAATGCGTTGTTTATAGGGATGCATGCTGTCCCTTGAGTTCCCGTTTTATTTTCTGTGTGTCTAAGAGTGAGGATAAGGAGCAAGTGGTTTGGATCAAGCTGCGTCCGCTGCCACTGCGCGCCATCTGGTGAACGGGTGCGGCGCGCACGGCGCCCTCTACGAGACCAAGATGGCGGCGCATTCGAATAGTGACGTTTAATGAATTGATTATGAGACTGAAACCTTTGCTCTTTACTGGGAACTCCACAATGCATTGTTTGTAGGGAATGATTTTTGTTCTTTGCGTTCTCGCTGTGTGTATGTTCCGTGTGTCTAAGAGCAAGGTTTGGATCAGGCTGCCTGCGCTGCCGCTGCGCCGTCTGCCGGGCGGGTGTGGCGCGCACGGCGCCCTCTACGAGACCAAGATGGCGGCGCTGGTGGCGCTGCGCGCGCGGCGGCGCGGTCTGCGCTTCCAGCTGCACGTGAACGTGGCGGCCGTGCGCCCCTGGGACGACCTGGTGCTGCGCGTGGAGGGCCCCGGGCCCCCCGCCACGTGGCTGGTGCAGCTGAAGCACGCCATGGACGACGGGTGCCTCGTGTCGCTGCAGGTGAGCGGAGGCAGCGGATTTATCCTCTTTACTCCACTACTCCCCACACAGGCTCGTTTTACCAGAGGGAGTTAACCCCAGGGGGGGCACCTAAGCTTCGTACTTGATCTTCTTCTGCCGGCGCACAAGTATACTGTCAGGTTTATATCTAGATCCATTGCGAAAGCTGTTTCCCATCTCCGCAACCTCCTTTATCTGCCTTCTCAGTGCCCCCAGTTGTCCAGGCTAAAACCGGAGTCGAAACAATGTGACAGGACGAATCGCTCCTCTTTGCCGAGAGTATCGGACCACTGCCACGACAAAGCCGGGAGCCCAATAGAGGGCCACCGGAACTAAGGCTCGATCGCCCTTCCTGTCTCGTTACTGCCTACATCTTGAGGCTATTGACGTATCACCGGAATATGGATCACCTGACGGGTGGTATTACATTCCCTCTGGCTTCTGTCTGTGGATTACAGAGCCTTCCGAAGAATCTCCTTCACCCGATCCTGCCCAAAGGTCGACGCACCATAGACCCAACTGGTGGGTTACCGAGCAACGCGTTGACCAGGAGTTTCGCATCGCCTGCTCACTGCCTCCACCTTGAGAGTAAAGACTCGAGGGTCGCCTCGAGACTTATGAGCCGGGTCGTCGACTACAAATCCACACCAGAGACCGTGTCCACTTACTCACTCTCGGCCGCTGAGGCGCTCTTGTCTAAAGGGGTTGACAGACGGGTAACGCTTCGAATCCCACTTATAGCGTAGATGTTTTTTTCCCTGAGCTGCAACATGGTGGGGCGTTTACCAACCATCAATACTGTTGTTTGATCTTTCTTGAGAAATGTTTGTGGCACTCATTGGTGCCAAAGTAAAAGCTGGGGCGTGGTCAGTATTTAATTTTTTTTTCACATTTATATCACGAACTTGTAATTGAGCTATTGTAATCTTCAATTTTCTTTTCAACCCTCTGCCTGCAGGGTGATTGCATCATATTTTTGTAGAAGAATTTGTAGAGCAAAAATTCAAAAATTCCATTTTAATCTTCATATTTGAGATGTATTGATTACGTGCTAAATTCTTTGATTATAATTTTGTCAATTGGGAGATTAATAGATAGGTCATTTTAATTTATTCAGTTTTCTCGGCGTTTTGTGTTATATTAGCTACACTTTGCATGCATTGTTTACATCTGTAGGTACACTATAGTATCTATTTACCATAGTTCGGTCTAAATCTGGACAAACGGAAGCCCTGACGTTAGGTTCTGACACGAAAGCATCACTCACGGTGATAATACCAATAAGAAAGTCCCATTACATCTGACTACAAAGAGTCAGTTTTCGTGTGATGGCATATCGATCAGAATTAAATTGCTTGTTTTATTCAGTTTTATTTAAAGGGATCACAGAGCTCACAAATTTTGTTTTCTTCCCCTTTTAAGAAATGTTGATGGCATCTAGTTAGATTTCAAGACATCAAGCGATAGAGGTAATTACCCGTTCTTCTCATTATTGCATCTAATTTGAGATATACCAATTGTGACGTATTAAGAGCTTATGATTGTTTCGATTGCAATGAAAAACAATTCACTGAATTATGAGTTACTGTTTATTCTTATGTGACACAGATTCGCGATTTACGCTGATAATTCCGGTTCCTATTTAGAAACTGTATTGTATTACAAGAGGATAATTTTATAGCTGATTTTTTATTAACTAATAATTATTTTCCTGTGACTCTATTTTGTTTTCTCGAACTCAGTTTTTCAGTAGCGGCCTACTGCCCAAATAAATTTTGCTTTCTTAACAGACCTTGTCAGATTTTCCATGTGTCAACCATGTGGGATTTCTCTATTGTGACCAGTCTAAAACTGATCGAATTTTCTGTGACAACTCTTCAGGGTTTCTCTATCATGAAATCCCTAGAACTACCATTGGAATGTGTACATGCTAGATGATGATGTAGTATGATGATGATGTATGATGTAGTTGTTAATAATGAAATTAAGGAATTCACTTTTATTTTCTCATATCGTCCGACTTCAAACTAGGAATGGGGAAGGGATATACAGTTATTAAAATTATCGTTATCCATGTTGTGACGGGAGTGTATTTTGTCACGAAAGTCATGATGACAGATTAGACCCCACATCTAGAGCTGATGTGTCTTTGAAAAGAAGATTTTATTACTTCGGCGAAAATATTTGTTAGCAATACTGATCTAAAACACTCGTTTAATTCTGTATTCAGAATTCAACTTCTATTTGGTTTAGCATAGGGATCCCAGAATTTAGAAAATGTGAATAGAATACACTTACACAGAATACTCCCCGTAGAAGGTCACACACACACACACACACACACACAATCACACACACACACACACACACAGTAGTAGCACACATAAGTAGCTGCTTCGTCGCGAAGGGTAGCGGGTTCGAATCCCGCCTTCGGGCGTGGATGTGTGTGTGTGTGTGTGTGTGTGTGTGTGTGTTCGTGTTGTCCTTACGTGCTCTTCCAACAGTTCCTCCTATAGCAAGCACACTGGTCACTATTTGACAAAGGTTAAATACAACCAACCACATTTAAAAAATAAAAGTTGGAATTCTCGACTAAAATTCTACTAAAGTAATTCATAATAATACAAATATAATATCGAATGATTCTCAGAGGTATCAAGTGTAATAATTGTAGATATTCTCGTTTAGCCATTTGATTCGAAGTGTATTGAATGCAATTTTTAAGAGAAATGCCAATTACTCCAAAGAAAATGCGAATAACTTCTAATTTGGAAACATTTCAGGCTTTCACCCGACCCGGAAAAGGAGATTACACAATCAGCAAATACTATCAACAATTCCAAGAATTCTACCAAAAATACGCGAATCGAGAGGAGCTGTCAGATAACGATGACTGGCTGCTGTGCAGCTGGAAACTCGAAGACCTTCGCTACGTCATCTTCACGAACAAGAAGGTGGAGCAACCGCCCAGTCCGGCGCGAGCGACGGGCGGCCCCGCCTTCCCCCTCGACGACCTCTTGCAGACGGGGGACGGAGAGAACACGTTCTCCTTCCAGGTCGTGGATGCGGTAGGGGCTCGTGGCTCTCTCCTTCGCATGGCATCCGGCCCTCGCGACACGCTGCGCCGGCGACGGCCCCAGTTGTCACTTGTACTCCCTCTCCCCCTCAACTCGCGACATTGGTGTCAGGTGTGGGGTACGAACCCACGCTCCCTTTCGAGAGCCAGAGACAATGTCGCGAGTTGAGGGGGAAACTGTACATGACATTATTTAAAGCACATGTACTCATCAATCCAATAATATGAACAAATTGCCGCTAATATTAATTTTAACGACATGAGACAAGTTGAAAAATTAAATTTTTGTAATTTTTGAAAAATTAAAAGAATAGAGCAATATGCCGTTTAGGTCATCTTATAGAGTACATCTATCTCTACCAAACGTTTAACGAAAGAAATATAGAGCTAATTTTTAATAAATCTTGTTTTTCTAATTTTTTTTAAAATTGCACATTTTGCATCAATTATTGTGCAAAAACTACTAAAATTTGTAAAAAACTTTACAAGACAATGAAAGAACTTACTATGGAGAACAAATTATAATTGAAGGAACAGCCTTCAATTTTGTAGTTGTAGGAAGAAGCCCTAAACAATTTGAAACTTTGACATTTTCGAAAATTCAGGGTTAATCCGTGTAGAATCAGAGTATAACATTTGCCACGTTGCTAGTTAACCCTTTAACCGCGACGGTCCGCCCAAGTGAGTCTCGCCTCTTGCGCTATACTTCTCGCGGGCCCCGTTCTGAGCTGGGCTCGCTCGCATGTGGATGCCGCGCAAGACCTCTCAGTTGTAAGTCCCGGCGGTAGCCGACAGCGCGTCTGCACGAGCGAACGCTTCCTGAGGCTCTTGATACCTTGCGGTTTTGCGTACCATCTCGTGGACAAACTGACAGCGCAAGAACACGTTCAGGGGCCACCACGCACGGACATATTTTGCGTATCAACTCGTCTAGAGCAAAGCTTTTGTTTCCGTGGCCAGGCTCAGGCTCGCTCTTCCGTCTAACCACAGAAATTGCGCTGCGCTCCTTTCAACATCTAGCGGAGAAAGATGGTATTACTCAGGCGACGAAACCGGCGATTTTAAATTTAACTCGGAGGATTCTTTTGGGCTTGATGATCTTTTACCTGCAGTAAATCTACATCATGGGACAGCCGGCTTGTTCCCCTTTGAAGAAATGCGGGCGAAGGATATTTGGCCGTTAAAAATACACGGCTACTATTGGATTTGAACCCGCACACTTGGTGAAAGCAGCCCGATATCCTCATCGTTATACCACCAAGCCTGCACCTTGTTCGCGGTAGCCGATAGTTATTTGCCGGTGAAATAGAGTGCACAGTTTATGACTGTCTACGCGACTCTTCCAAAGTGCTAGCTGGCACAGCTGCTCGGCCGTGCCTCGACGCCTACGGCCAAAATGCGACAGGAGCGCGGTTCCAGGGACCTCCGCCATCTTAGAGCAGCCCATCCTTACCTTACAGCAGCGACACAACCGCAGCGCGAGAGGGCCGGGTTTCTTAGTATTTTGAAAACCACCGCGCCACGGTCAGGTACAGACTCGGATACAGAGGGTGCTTCATATCTCGATTTTCTCCTCCGGCATATCGAGATCTCGCGCTGACATTCGCGATGGCCATTTTGATCTGTAAGTAACATACTGTAAGGTAACCGCATGACCTTAGTCTGTACAGTGGTGCTTGTGTGTGACAGGTGGGGAAGCTGTGCAACGACGCCCTCTACCAGC